GTAGGCACTAGGGAACAGACGTGATTATAAATGGCAATATCAGGGATTCTTGTGGTGATGTAAATTTTCTGTATCTTAACTGTGATTATGGAGACACAAACATACACTTGAAAAATTGTATAGAACTAAATATCCACACAGCACACACACATTCCCACAAAGTATAGATAAAACTGCGGAAAACTAAGTAAGATAAGTAGATTATATCCATATCAATGTTCTGTGATCTTGTACTACAGTTTTTAAAGATTCTTCAGTTGAGGGAAAATAGATTAGTGGTATGAAAGGTAGCTCTGTATCATTTATTTCTACCACACATCATTTATTCCTACAATTATCTCAAAAATATTTTGTGGCTTTAATTTAAAGAAGAAAGTGGTACCAAACTGTTCAATATTTTTTTATGGTGCCTTTATTTCTCCTGCACATACACATTCCTAATTGGCACTTCAGAATTTAGAAAGGTGAATTACCAAAGTCCCATAAGGTAGAGAGAGATGTAACATTTTCATTCAGAATCTTCATTCAGAAATTTCTAATACTAGCTACTGAGTTCTTAAAAGGTGAAGTGTATAGTCCCTGCGTCTACTCCACACAAGCTTCCTACCTTCCCCCACTCCACAGGCGTCTAGTATTCAGAAGGCTGAATTGGCACAGTGAGTTGTTTCCTGGGAGTGAACTAAATCTCTCAAATCAGTTCCCTGAAAATATGCCAAAGCAAATCATATTTTATTTCCAGAGTGGGAAATCCATCTCATTATTGACAGGCTCAGATTATCTTCAAGGAAAAAAAAACATCGTGAAAGCAAATTAGACCTAAAGGAAACCATAAATATAAGCCATTTAAAATTAATTAAAATTCTGGATTAAAGAAAATTATTTCAAGTAACAAAAATTTGGCAACAATTCTTGTTCAAGGCTGGAGGATCAGTATTTGTACATGTTGGGGAATATAGCAGTATTAAATCTCAAATAGCTAAAAGAAGTTCAAAATGGTGGAGGTTTAGTGTGTATTTAAAAATAATTGTGAGAAATGATGCTGTGCCATTCACTGGGGCCACTGCATGAACTGACTACGGAACTGACTCTTGATCCCAGAGAAAGTGGAGAAGTTTACAAGACTCTAAGCAGGGGATATCTGTCTTTTCAGAGGCACCTTATTGTCTATCAAGTACTTCTCTTTGCTTAAAAACTGTGTGTTCACCAATAAGAAGCTCTTCCATAGTGGTGTTAAAATAGGAAATAGTATGTGAATATATTTCAGGGGGTAACATAGCTAGTAAGGGAATTTGGATTTGAATGCCTCCACTATTTTAAATAACTTGGAAAATGTTTCTATGCTATACAGTTAGATGAAAATAAAGTTATTTATAACTTAGATATGGTCTATTTCAGTTCTAAATAAAACATTAATAAAACCATAACGTACATATTTACATATATGCATATATATTTATAAAATAATAGATTTACAAAGACACAGGGAAACATGATAAATTATCAATTTGTTAGCAGTGGTTCCATTAGGAAACTGGTAATCTGGGAGAAAATTTTTGTAAAGTCATATCAATTTTTTTGAGAAGCTAAAATATGTAAGTTTAACTTATGTAAATGATGAAAATACATTAACTGATACAAATGTTACACAGCAGCACTGTCCAAGAGTAGTGCAACTTAAGCCAGGCACTGTGGCACATGCCTATAATCTCAGTGGCTCGGGAGGCTGAAATAGGAGCACTCTGATTTCAAAGCCAGCCTCCGCAATAGCGAGGTGGTAAGCAACTCAGTGAGACTCTGTCTCTAAATAAAATACAAAATAGGGCTGGGGATGTGGCTCAGTGGTTGAGTGTCCCTGAGTTCAATCCTTGGTATACTCTCCCCACCAAAAAAATGGGATTTGTGGATTGGTGGTAACAATATTTCTTAGTTTACAAAACAACAAGCACAGGAAATTTTAAGGCTCTTCCTTGTTCTATTTTATTATGACTTTAGCTTTCTAAAACCTGATGCATTTCATTGTCCAGCTCTATCATTTTTCAGTTAAGAAGCCTTAATATTATTTAATGCCTTTGATTACTACCAGTGTACATTAAGAATTATTATAATGTCTACATTTGAAGTAAAAATGAACAGGGTATTTTTAGAAACCAGCTTTTAAAAACGTGTAAGCATGACTTGGCAGAAAAAAAAGTAAAAAGATATTAATTCTGATTTTTAATTATGAAAAATCTGGACAACTCTAATTAAGGAGAGGGCAAAACTCACAAAATTTCTCCCAAATAAAAATTCATTAGTCAAAGCATGTATTACCCAATGTCTCATCCAAATAGCTGGATAGAGAGTTTTTGTTTGTTTAAGCTCCAACTTATCCATTGTGTAGCTGGGTAATTTTGAATATTTGCTATAAACATTCTTAGCTTTAGATTCTGGAGATATCTATCGAAGGAACACTTATTTAATATGGCACAAAAATTTAAACAAAGTAACAAATATGACAGTACTATGTAAACAATGTTGTAAACTCATTAGAATAATATTTTTAAAAATGAAATAAGGGGACTTCCACAGATATTACTTTTGTAAATTCTATGTTCAATGGTATGTCTGAATTTGGAGAATCTGAGACAAAAAAAATATTTTCAGAAATATATTCAGACTTTTTTTAAAAAATGTGAGTCATTGTAAACATATTTACAGGCACATGTGCATGGTTTTTACTAGGCTGGTTTTTAAGGATGCTGAGCTTAAAAGGCAGCTTTCCATATCACAGAAGCTTCTGCTGCAAACACAAAGCATAATGGTTAAGAATAGACAGATTCCAGCACTTGGTGCTTGCTCTTCAATAAAGAGTCATGAGACTAGACTAATTCATTCACTCGAATAAATCCCAGAAGTATTAAGGATTGCTGCACGCTTAAGAACACATTGTTATACCATTGTCACCGACGTTCCCTCCAAATTTACTTCATAATTATATTTGCTTCTTTGAGAATAGCATTATGCCTTTACCACCCTTGACTATTTTTGTTTCTCTCATTACTTCTTTCATTATTCCTAAAAAGTTATTCTTGAAATTTTATGATTTGCATTTGTGTGTTTGATCACTGAGGTATGTCAAGTTACTATCCATTTCAAGGCAAGGCAGCAATGATACTTTTTGCACTATTTTAATTTCCAGCTAATAAATGAACATCCCAATTTAAGAAATTTGATATACAAATATGCATTATGAAACCATTTGAGGATGATTATCACTTTGAAAAACAATTATCATTGAATAAAATATTTGCAACTGATTTCTCTTTCTCTCTTTGTTTTCTTTTTTACATAGCTTGTTTTCCAACTGAAGTTAATCTACTTTTATTTACAGAGAAATTTTCAGGAAAGCATTTATTACAAAGAGTGAGGTACATCCTTATAGCATACTTTCTGATAAATGGAGCTTCCAAAATATATACCTGTACTAAAGGAAGTATTGTGAATTTAACCTCAATTACATTAAACCTTAACCAAATTTTCAAGATATTCCACCACCCAACTCAAGCAAATAATAAAAATAATAAAAAAGAATTTTAAAAAAAATCAAAAGGCATTAATGTAAGAAATGTGACTTAAACACATGGAAGGTGATTTTAAATTTCTCTTCAATATTAGAGATATCTATGTATAGGAATATGAATAGAAATAGAAATCCTACATTGCTCAATTAGAAGTCCTAAAGAAATACTTCCCTTTGCTTGCAATCCCACTGTAGTTTTTGACTTTCTTAGTGTATCCTGTTTATCTTCATTAATGTTATATATGCCACCACATATTTAGAAGAGTATTTAGTTCTGGGACATCTGGTGCTATCAATATCCATCCAATACTTTGTGTTCTAAAAGCATCTGTCAGTGACGTCTGAGGACTGTAAAAATTATAATTTCTGGGACACTAAAAAACAAGGTGTTACCTGCTCCACAAAAATACCTCTATCATCATATTCACCTGTAGAGTGTCAGCACCCCAAACCATGATATAAATAAGCTATTGGAAAAATAATTTTTTCTGTATTTTATTATTGTTGGGATAGTCTGAAGGACAGAGGGAATTTGAAATTAAATTCTGATAAAGTATGTATAATAATAATACATAGGATCTTTTCTTTAAAAACATCTATGCATGTGCACAGGCATGCGCGCGTGCGCACACACACACACACACACACCACACACACAGAAACAAAAGGAACCAATGAAAATATCCTAAATATTAAAATAAGCCTAAAATTCCTTTACTACTGAATGTTTGACATAGAAAGATTTTGGTATTTTATTAGCTGCTGGGTTTTCTTGGTATTCTAATAGTCTTGAAATAAAGGTGTGCTTGAAGGAACACATGCATTCATAGACCTGTGTTTCTTTAAACCTGTCCAGCCCCCTTCCTAAATCCCCAGGACCAAAGGAGATCAAAGTGTGTGCAGGAACTCAGTCATTTTGGCTTTTTTGAAAATTTATATTTAATACCTAATATTCAAGTCAATATCTGAGATCCCATATTGAATTATTTTTCAATCTTTTAATTTCTACAATGCAATTGGGCCTAAGTTTTGGGCAGCACATCTTTAATTTTGTGCATAACTCCTTCTTTATAAGAAGAGACACATTTGTGGTACTTACCAAACTCATTCTCTCTAAAGAATAGGATTTCAAAATTGGCAACAGTAATCTCTTTATGTGTATGTTTTTTTCTTGTTCTTTAATGTTCTGAGAGTTGGTACCATGAAGTGATTAAGTTCATGACCATGAAGTACACACAGCAGTTCCATCACTAACAGAATGACCTTACCTGTTTCCTCATCTATGAAATGGAGATGAGAACAGAAAGTACCTAAGGGAAGCACATAAATGTACATATACACATACATACATATGTGTATGTATGTGTATATATGAAATCTGTTTATATACATGCACATAGAACATAAGTTTATATATGCTCATAGAATATATATATGTAAAATACGCATAGAATAGTGGTTGGCATTGTTATTACTATTATTCCTCATTTTTGATGTACAGTAATCAGAAACTGAATTTCATAATACGCCATTTTTGCTTAATTATATGATTTCTGTCATCCACAGAGGAAATTTTTGAAGTAAAACAAACTCAACATTTTCCTTTTGATCTAAAATAAATGCTAAGTGTATGCAGTAAGGAAAATTTCCTCTGGGAATTATATAGAAACAAGTAATATAATGAAAACTTTAAGAAGTTGTCAGTACCATTTTATATCATGTCCAAACACTTTCCTTTTCATAGTCCAGAGAATGAATGTAACACAAGCTAAACTTTCTTGCAAACAACAGAAGAAATAAGAAATTAAAAAAGTCCCTACAGGGAAAACTATATATCATATCTATATTTACTGATAAGGTTAATAATTATTTCTGAGCAATAATATTTTTTAAAGCAATATATATCAGTCACCGAGGGAAAGAAGAGAAAACTACTAGGATTTTGTTTGAGTTAACAACAATATGGTGTGATTGAAAATATTATAATTTTACTTTGTACAGAACTATACCATTAGCATGAATTCCTTTTCATCTCAAAATTGTAAGTATGCAATCATGTAGCTTTGTTTATGTGCTTAAATCATTCTAATTTATTATTTTTGCCACATTTTTGAAATTTGGTTATTCACAAAGGTTCATGTTTATACTGATAAGCGGTGAAACGTGAAACAGGTAAATCTTTTTGAATTGCAGATGTAAGTTTTATTATGAAAAAATCTCATTAAAATCATAAGTCATCAAAAATTATTGAGACAAACATTTACTTATGGAAGGGAGACACTGTGACAACCTAAAACTCAAATACACCTGGCTTTCATTTTAAGAAAGGGTTCAATATGACACCATGAGAAGAAGATTAGCTTGCTTTAATTGTGTACTATAATTATTTACACATTCTTAAGAAATAATTTGGGAATAATTGTGTTTTAAAACCAAACTGTAGGCCTGGATGAAAAGTCCTTGGTGAGGAATTATTTCTAGAGATTCCCCCCCACCCCACGCCCAATATGAAAAGCTCTAATATTTCAGCTACATTTTTTTTGCATATAAAAATATCTATTATAGGAGTCAACTACCACATGAAAGAAATTGCATTTGTTTTAATTGAAAAAGGTAGCTAAAAATTTTCTGAGATTGCAACAGTACAAGAATACAAGGTGCGTTTATTTATTAACAAAAACAATTGAAAAACAAATTGTGAAAGCAAAAGCAGGCTACAAAACAGAAGGGTTCTTGATTGCCTTTGCCTTGAAATAACAACATGTTACAAGTTAATATGCCACAGTTGATAAATGCTATAAAGTGTAAGTTAGCTTTTGCTAATTTTATTTTAAACATTTTCCCCCACCCAGAGCACTATGGGAAAAATATATATATATATATTATATGTGTATGGTAAACGTTTCCTCCTTCCAGTATCACAATCTTGTTGTCACATAATCTTCATGGGTGACTGTGTCTGTGAGGCTTAAATCATAGTCTATGCTTGAGTCCTCCTCCTTCGCATGCTTCTCTTTGGGGATTATAGGAACAGTGTCCTCCACCACCACCTTCTCTGACTTGAAAGAACACACTCTCTTGCCTACCTGTAAACCCAATGTGTCCGTGTTCCTTTCTCTATGGTCTACTAATACACACTGTTCACTGAGACCAGGAATGCTCAGGTCACCCCGTGTAGCTAATCCTCGGGATTCCAGTTGAATATTTCTCTCAAGTGGTCCTGCGGCCTGTTGGCGAGCAACTTCTTCTGAAACAGAGAAGATTTGGTTTGCATTTTGCTCAGCAGCGTTTTGTTTTGATCGTCTATGAAATAACCCGAAGTTTTTGATATCAGCCACAAAATTCACTTTTCTCTGCTTCTCCCTCAGTGGCTCCTGAACCACCAGGGCAGAGCCATTGCTTATGTTATGTCTTTCGGAGGCAATTGCTGCTGACCTCGGATGAATCAGAGTGGTTAAATCAAAAAGGCTGAAATTCTTTTTCTTGTCCTTGTTATTACCTTCATTATCACTCTTTTCGTCTGAGTCTGCTGAATTGGAAGATTCCTTCGTGGCATGTGCAGACTGTATTGAAGAAAGCTTGCTTCCTCTGAGTAATCCCAGAACTTCGAAGCGGAAACTAGAAATGTCTTGCTTTAGTTCCTAAACGAAATTTAAAATGGCACATTAGGTTGTGACTGGAACACTAGGAAACAGCACTTTCTAATTTCACATATACATCTGAAAAGTTTCCATTCCTTTTTGAGAAATAGGATTCTGTTCTACTGTGGTTGTATTTAGAAGTCCCAGTTCTCTCCCTGGCATTTGGTGTCATTTTGATGTCTACTCATTTTCCTACTGGAGTTTTGTGATCACAAGGAAACTTTCTATGGATGATGTGAAAAGAACCCAGAAGAGTTGTGCTTTGCACTACTGTGTATCCCAGGATGTGGGTTTTCTTTGGGACTGTGGTGTCAAATACTCCCCCTCCAAATTGTTCATTTGCTGTTGAGTCTCCTTTACACTCTACCAGGGATGCATTTTTTAATCTTGCAGATTTTTCTTTCAAAGAATATTGGAAAGAAAAGAAAGTGGAGTCTACCCTTCCAAGAGTTGAGAGTGACTTCCAATGATTTAGTACCTTGGTAAGGACTTTATACCAACACCTGCATCAAGCCTGAAAGTCCTGTGACTTGCTTCATGTCATGCATTTCCTAGATTCATCCATTTCTCTTATCTTTTCAGGGAAACTGAATTCTCAGTCTTAACCCTATGGTGGCCTTCTTGCTCTCTTCCTTCCAACCTGTCTCCCAAAGCAATATGAAGCATTTAACTTCATAATTTGAGTGTTTTAGCTGTAAAGAACATTTTGGATTTTTGTTCATTTGCAATTGCTTTGCAATTTATTTATGTTCTTATCTAACTAGCTGATAATTTTTATTTTCTTTGTCAAAATATCTGCTTTCTCTGTAAAGATCTCCTTATTTTTTTCCCTTAGTTGTTTTTGTTTGTAATATCTTAATGATTCTTCCAAAATCTCTGACACTCAAGCAGAATAACATAATTAACACACAATTTTGTGCATACCCTATTTCCTATATTCTACTCAGTTCTTCTGACAGAATTAAGAAGAAGGGAAAACTCAAGTAGAAAAGCCAAGTTGTAACTTACAGTTAAACTCAAACCTTAAATTCCTTACAAAAATGTTGCAGAACACCCAAAGGATTTTGTTGTTAACATGTTGCTTATTAAATTTTTCAGATATAGAAAGCAGGATGAACTATCAAACACTAAAGCTCACTCAGTAGAACATTGCTGGGATCAATGAGTCAGAGCGTCAGAGCGCCACGAAGCTCTAGGATTTTCTCTGCCTCCAACTAAGTCCCCTTGACATTTTGGGTTAAGTATGTTTCAAAACAATTTATTTTGGGAAGAAATTTCATCACTTGCTGTTTTCTTTTTAAGCCATTCAATGGGATTTAATTTAAAAAGGAGAAGGCACACGAGACTTCTAGAAGCCATGGCTGAGTTTTCGACTCTGATTTGAAATGGGCTGTGTCTGATTCCATATTTTGCAGACTCTGCCTTTCATTAGGATGAAGATGAAAATGATTACCTTAAAGTTCTCTTCTGTCAGTCCTTCTTCAGTTTTAGCATCTCTAATCATGGCTGCGACATATCGCTTCACCAGGTTCCTCATAACTTCCTGAGGCATTTTAGAACCATAGTATTAGTATTAAATGCATAAATAGGATTTTTTTTTCCTGAGTCTATTCTGAACGGGGCGGTGGTTGTGGCTGTATTTTTTTAATGCCAATTTCACAATACAATCAAAGGATAACTTACTTGATATTGATGATGTCTTCTCAAGTTATCAGCAGCTCTCCTCTGAAAAGGAAAAGGACATTTCCATTTTGGTTATATTGGTAAACATATTGACCATTTTAAAAAGTAATTCACTGTTGTTGTTTTTTTAAATCAAGAATTTTTACTCTCCATTATCCCTCAAAGTGGGAGTTTTACTACACAATGGCTATAGAGTGCTTCACATGAATTTAAAAACTGGACCAAAATAATACAATACAAGAATATAATATGTAGAACATTTAAAACAGAATAAGTTAACAATGGTGGAAATGCGCCTCTAATATATGATCTAGAGTTAGCTAGTTGTAGTTGATACACACCAAAACCACTTGAAATGATGCTGAGACTGAGATGGGACATATCAAGTAAAAAGAGGGAAAGATTAAAAAGTTATTCATGACATACAGCATACAACGAGAAACCTGACAGGACAAAAGACTCCCCCCCCCCCACTAAACTATTTCAATCATGCCAATTGAGATATTTTAGGTAGATGAGTGGATTTGATATAATACATAAATACATAAGAACTCTGTTCAAACATACCATTAATTTACTCATCATTAGCATGAGTCCCAATAATTTAGAAAAGAACAGAACGTACTTTGGGGGCTGGAGATGAGTTAGCACAAAAGAATGATTTTGTAGTACAAGATATATAGAGAGATGAGTAGTGACTGAATCATCATACTTCACTCAAATTTTATATTTGAAGTTTTCACAAGGGTTCTAAAGACATTGGGGAAAAAGCTATCTATCATGATCCTATTTTATGTTTTTAGAATAAATAGTAGTATTAATTCATCATGGAAAAAACTGGACAATATAATCTAAAATAGAAATATTTCTGTAATAAATAATAATATTAATTTGATTAGTTGTGATGAGCAATTGAAATAACATATTTGGGTTTTAAATTAGACTTTTGATCTTGTTCCTTACTAAATATTTAATTACAAACTGACAAAATAAAATGTTGGAAAGAGTTGCATAGGTACCACTGTGAAATGCTATTTTAAACAATGAAACAGTTTGAAAGAAAGTAATTTTTTCCCTTCAGAGACAAAGGGGAAATAGGATGTTGACCATTAACCATAAGAAGGGATTTGTGTTTCATGATTAGGAACCAATGAGACAATGCTTAGCTTCTTAAAGGCAACTAATTATGTTAAAAATCATATAATTCTGAAATGAAATGCATTTTCAACATGATTAAGGCAATAATATAAAAGCTAGAAATTTGAAACAATACAAAATTAGAATATGTTAAAAAAAGAATAGAGAATGGGAATTTTATGACTGGGCCACCAGATGGAGGTGTCTGACTCTTGCTGAGACACAGCTCAGCTGAAATTCAAGACAAAAAGCACTGTAGAAGAAAACATTAGCCTTCCAGATCCCCCGAATGTGCTTAGAGTGAACGAAAAGATTAAGTGAGTTACACACCAATTTCTTTAACCCTCTCATTAAAATCATTATTACTAGTGTCTCCAAGATTTAAGTAGATAGAAACTCTTAAATCAATATAAAATGAATTTAGTTCACTTGTTATATTTTGTGTCCTATATCATTCCACTATTCTGCAATAGAAACCCTTTAAAAATTCAATCAGAAATTTTCAGCAAAGTGCAGTTTGAAGTCATGACTGAACTTGAGATTTCTTTAGCACAAAACTGAACTCAAGGATAACAAAATTGAAGAATTATGGGTCACATAAAAATGATAATGACAAATTTTAGAATTAAAATAGGCACTGTCTTTCCTTCAGTAGAACTTTGCTCATATCCAAAGTTTAAAAAAAAAACTTTAATTTAAACATAAGAAGATTTAATATAGCAGTTTAAACAATAATTCTATATTTATTTTTCTTGCAAAAATTTCAAAAATATAAACAGTTTTCTAGAAAGAGAAAACAACATAGAAAAAGTTTGCCATGATAACTTTTAGGAGTTAATTTCCATAGCCCAGGCTTAAGGCTTAGTTAATACAGGTAATGACTTTAGCAATTTGGGTATTTTCTACATCTACATGGTGATGATAAGAAACTATTTTTGGTCTTATGAGATAATGTCAGCCAACTGAACTTCAAATCCTAGCTAGGAAAATAGGACTGAATGAATTAACCAACTCCTCCTCATCAAATTGGTGAACACTACACTATGCATATCATGTATTCCTTATCTTTTTAATCTCCTTTCTCTCCTTAGTACTATGTGTTTACCTGGGTCTGCTTTCTTACTTTCTGAGAGGTTGTGAGGTGTGATATTAGGAAAAAGGACTTAGGGACTTATTTGTGTCTGAAGCTGACTGGGCCTGAACTGAAAAGTTATCTCTGAGGTTGCAAGATGAAAATAAACTCAGTGGATAATTCCAATGACTAAATAAGAGAGTAAGGCATTTAGCACTAATGTGAGTTTCATCCTCTTTCTGCTCTCTTACTTTCCAACTGATAATCTTAATTGGAATATTTAAGAATATTGTAAAAATATTCTTAAATCACAAAACTGTACAGTCTGACAAATATCAGTATTATCTCTAAGGAAGTAAAATAATGTAGTTAAAATATAATTGTCTCTCTTTGTGAGATTTTCATGGCATTTCATGTTTATGGAAGCCTTTCCCTCAGTTAAATGGTTGGAAACCTTTGTCCTTGGCAGTAAAGAAGTTCAGAAGTAGAAAATTTGCATTTAAGTAATATAGTCAGTGGATTCTTGTACACTTGGATAGATGTAACACAAATCTAGAAGAGAGACATCTTTTAGGGGGGCCTGAAAATATGGACATCTTTCCATGACCTCTGTGAGTTTTCCTTTGTTTTTATAGCATCTATCTTAGCTTGCAGAGCCAATTTAAGATATACTTAAATGATCACATGTTCACATGCAAGAAACCTGAGAGCAATAAAACACACTTAAATGGCTTAAATAAAACACATTTAAATCACTGGCAGTTTCTAACATGGAATGCCAAGAACAGGAATGACTGCAGATGAAGGCAGAATATAGCATTAAACATGGTGAGAAATGTGAGTGTTATTTGACCACAGGGAGGAAGAGGTGATATTTTGCTAAAGAAAGAATTAGATTTGGCAACAGCTTTCACAGGAATGGGGTTCTGAATTCGACACGAGGGAAGCATAGGTCTTTGATAGGTAGAGATACACAGGTGTCTGGAAAGTTGGAATGGGGTGAGCAAATATGCCAGAGCTAGAGAGACATGTTAAGACATGCTCTGCAGCTTCCAGAGGTAGGGGTGCAATGTTTTCTGCTATTTGGAATGTGTTTAGATGCTGTTTGGGAGTTAACATGCATATATATATATGTATGTATATGTATATGTATGTGTATATATATATATATATATATATATATAT